GTTTTTAAATATTACCAAGTTGGCAACCCTAATTAACATTCATGTGGTGCCTTTGTGAAGACTGGGCTCCCCAGCGGGCTCAATTTCTAGATCTTCCAATGACAGCTTCTGCCTTTGAGTAAATTTCCAAGCCGGACAGTAAAGTAAAGTATTGGCCACCATGAGCCTGCTGCAAACCGAACTCTGCTGGTTTAGGGAAGTGACTCAGCAAGCTGTAAAGGGGGTGTAAAGAGGCTGCGGGGGTCGGCCTGCAGGTTGCCGTGAGGGCAGCAGTCAGGGAGCCTTCGGCGGCATGCCTGAGTGAGGTCTGCCAGTCCTGCGGCTTCGGCGGCAATTCGGCGGCGGGGACGCCGAAGCCGTGGGACCGGCGGACCTCCCGCAGGCATGCCACCAAATCCGCCTTACCAGCGGACCTCCCGCAGGCATGCCGCCGAAAGCCTCCTGACTGCCGTGCTTGGGGTGGCAAAATACATAGAGCCGCCCCTGCTTGCAGGGTACCTGGGGAAGGGCACCTGGATAGTCTGGTGACTGGCATTCTAGAAATACATGGAGGGAGGGATGTGTGGCAGGAGGAGGAGGATTAAGTTACAGCCAGCTAGGGCCACTTTACTCCTGAATGGGGTTTTAATGGTCTTTAACTTACACGCCTTGAGTTGATTCACTAACTAATGAGTTGATGAACTTTCCTGAGTGTCCCTGTGTAGACATGGCCTAAGGACAAACTCTGCAAGGGTTACCTCCCTAGGTTACCTAAAGGAGAGCTTTAGCCTGCACAGGGGTAGACTGCAAGGCTCTATCTTCAGGGAACAACTCCTGTTTCCAACACAGGCTTGTGGAGAAATGTGCTCAGTGCCTGTTCATTACCTACGAAATTACCTATGAAATGGGAAGCATCGCCTGTGACGCTCTCTGTGCCCCGGGAACCCACCCTCTTCCCAATAAAGCTTCTGAGGGACCTCATTTCTGGGGAGCTCAGTGAGAATAAGCACTATTTGTTGTTCCTGCTGAGTTAACATTCCACTGGCTCACAGCAACGTCTCCAGAGCTTGTTCAGTTGACCAGGGCTTAGTAAAAATAACAGTAGCACCATGTGTTTTATAAGGCTCATGTTAAGCCATTGTCAAAAACCCTTGTGGGCTGTGGCTAGGCCGGGGGAATCAGACTGGCTCAGGCTGGGAGGGGGCATTAGAAGGGGAAGGAGAAATGCTAAACGCAGTTGCAAGAGCTGCTCTGGTGATGGAGGTTAGTGGGTGGGCAGCAGGAAGAGGTCAGCGGTGTCCCATCAGCTCTGCAAAGCCTTGTGAACGGAGAACGTCATGCTAACCTAGCAGACTGTACTGAAGCTCTGTGCTCCATCGGGGCAAACCCCACAGTGGAAGGGAGATGCGTATGATTTCTCCCCCTCTGTATTTAAACTATATTTACTGTCTATACAAATGACCCACTGACAACAATCCCAAAATCCCACCGGCACTCCGAGACATCTGCCTTCCCTGAAGGCTTCTTCACACTCATCCCTGCACTGAGCCTCCAGCCCAGGCTACCGAGAGCCTCACTAAAGGAAACAGAAAAACAATCATAAAAACATCTAACGGCTCCCAAAGAGCTCGTAATCTAACCCTCAGCAGCTGTCGGAGCTCAGCCTCCAATCACTTGGGTAAAATATCCTTCTGTAGCTCACACGGCTAAGTGTACGTTAGACTTTCCCTAGTTCTTTCTGCTCCCCTCTTGGAGATCTCTCACCTTGCCCTCGACATTTCAGAGCTGTCACAGTAAATGTAGTAAAAGGGTTTAGGGGGAAACGATGTGTAAAGCCATGGGAGTGTCATTTCCCTCTGCCCCTGAGGGGTTGGAGTCCCGAGGGGATGGGGGAATTGGGTCCTGCCCCCCGGGGATGGGAGGCCCTGGTGAGGTGGGTCCTATCTCTGGGGGGCCTGGATGGATGGGTCCTACCCTAGGCCGGTCCTCAGGAGGGGTTGGGTGCTGCCCCCAGAGGGGGTGATGGAGAATGAGCCCACACTCACCTGCAGCTGTGGCTCCTGTCCCTCAGTCTGGACCCAGCTCCCTCTCCAGGACACTCAGGTTTGGCACATACACCCCCCTGTCATGACAGAGGGGTGTCCAGGCCGAATTTGAATGAGCGGCATTGTGACCCCAGGTGCTAAGTCACAACACCCAGAGCCGGGAGCTGGGCCCAGTCGCCGGAACAGAAGCTGCTGCTGCGAGGTGAGTTTATTAAAATCAGGGACACAAAGAGAAGTCCTGGGCAAACCTCACAGTATCTGTGACATTTTCACCACCACGACAAATCTGCAGCCCTACTCATGCTTCAAACAGAAGGCCGTAGTTTTCAGGGCTGCAGCCCGCTGCTCTGATGCTCCTCAGACACACAGGGAAGAAACCTGCTTATTGGGCCGATGTCAGTGAAACTCAGCTACAGACACCATGGAGCAAGGGAGACACTGCTGTACTAAAGAAGCTTAGGTGGTTCAGAGGAACATGAGAGGCTCTTGAATTCACAGGCCCTTTACACAGGGTGTGTGTGCGCGTAGGGGAAAGAACTAAGCACAGGATTGAGGGTAAATAGATTTTTTAAATATACAGAGTAACCCGGCTAATATCTGACAACACCATGAAGTTTTAAGTCTGCTTCACTGCTGAGAGATGCCCTAGATACTGTCATTAGTGGCCCAGATTGTGCCCCCTGGATACACACATGGAAAGGACCTTCTCTCTGCATGCAAATCTCCACCTCCCCTGCGATAAGGGCACTCACCCCCTCCCACCCTGACCTTGCCACACAGGAGAACAGGGTCGACTGTGGGTGGGATCAGGAGATGCTCATCATGCTTTCTCCAGCACCCTGGGGATCCACCTGGAAACAAAGCCCTAGGCTGTATTTTTGCCTTGGAGGCTCATGGGGGTAGTCACAAGGAGGCTGTGGGAACCATGCTACACGGGGGCCACCAGGGGTCACAGCCAGCATGAATCCCGGGGGGACTTCAGATTTGGAGGTAGGCCACACATGCTTTCCCACTGGAGCAAAATCAATGCCCCTGATGGGATGATGTGGGCAAGGGGCTCCTCATGGACATTTCCTTCCCCTGGAGCCCCTTCCACGAGGAAGGGATAATCTGGATCGTATGATCGGATATTTAAAGAGTGCATCTCACAAAGGCTCTCACATCAGGCTTCACATGCTATATTCACAGGGGTCACTTCACCCAGCAGCACAATGCAGCTACAGGAGGTCACACTTTGATCTGGGCAAACCTTCTGGCCTTGCACTCCACAGCCCACGAGCAGAGCAGCGTCTGTTTAGCAGTGCAGAATGCTCTAGCCAGCTGAAGCTGTGAGGGGAATTTAAGGTTGTGACACCCTGGCACCCCCTTATTCACTATTGTCATATAATTAGGATATGTTTTGTACAAAGTGCGCCTTGTGAGGTAACATTCTAAAAGTCCTGATCTGCTAGACATTAATATCTCATTGGATTGTATGTGCTATCATTGTATGTGAAGTTATGAAGTTTGGCTACGTATGTGTTACTGAAACATGTTGTGAGATTGAAAACACCCACAAGTAGCCTTTCAGGTACGACAGTAAAAAGACCAAACAATGTTAATGGCGTACTGAGGAAATGCACACAAGAACGGGGATTACCTCAGGAACTGTGTACAATAGAAACCTCTCAGAGACAGCACTACACAATGGGAACTGTTTGGCCCAGGTCACAGCAAAAGAGCTTTCCAGCAAGTGAGAAGAAGATATAAAAGGGGGAAATAACATCATGATGGTACCTCACTCTCCCTCCAGCAACACACCTGGAAACACCTGAGGAACAAAGACTGAACTGGGGGAAGTGATGGTCCCAGGCTAAAGGGATTTGTAGCCTGTGTATGAAAACCTGGGAAACCCAAGCTGCAAAGCAAAGGCAGCTTGTGCCTTAAGAATCTGCCAGCCCGTTTATCACTCAAGGTGAGAATTTGCTAATTCATATCCTACCTATCTAGTATGTTAAGATCATTTTGCTTATTTACTAGGTAATCTGCTTTGATCTGTTTGCTATCCCTTATAATCACTTAAAATCTATCCTTTGGAAGTTAAGAAACTTATTTTATGTTTTAATCCAAACCAGTGTGCGTTTGACTAAGGTGTCTGGGGAAAATCTCAGCTTGGTTACCACAAGCGTGCACGGTCCTCTTCACATTGAGGGAGCAGCGGACCGGGTGTTAAACCCATATACTGGCCAGATTTGACCAGGGCAGGATGGTACTGCTCTGGGGTCCTAGGCTGGGAGGCTGGTGGTTAGAGAGCCTGCATGTAACTGCAGCTGGGTGTGTCCCTACCTGTGTGAATGCTGGTGAAAGTGCAAGCTTGGAGGGCTTTGCAGCTTGTCACAGCAGTACAGTGTGAGAGGGAGCCAGGCTGGTGGGCCAAGGGCTCAGTGGTACCCCAGTTCCAGGTGGCATCTGGGGGAACCCATCACAAGTCAGCCAGACTACTGCTCCTTAACACCTCTGCTCTTCTGAAAAGCATTGGAGGATCTTACATGGCCAGAGAGCAGGACATTTATTTATGTCTCATCCAAGAGACTGACCTTGCAGCAGCCAAGTGCCCCCTTGCACTATCTCACTTGTATAGCCCCACAGTGTGCACAGACACTGTCCTGCGGCACTCACTCAGTACTCACTTCCAATGAGCATAGGAAGCACCACACTGAATCAGTGGTTCATCTATGCCTGTGCCCTGTCTCTGACTGTGGCCAGCAACACATAGTTCCAAGGAAGGCACAACCCCCACCCCCAGAGGCAGATGTGGGACAATCTATGCAAACTGCAGCCAAATCAGGTCTGGTCAGCCAAAGCTCCCTTCCAGCAGTGCCCAGGGTACCTGGAGCACCTGGACGTGCCATTCATGTGACTGGACATTCTGCTATCTAAATACCATGCACTTTCCAAGCAGCAGTGGGAGAGCCCCACAGTTTAGAGAATCTGTACCTTCTTCAGCTTCCAGCTCCACCAGTGAAGACACCAACACGCCCATCTCCTGACATTTTTTGCTGTGGGCCTTTGACTTCATATGTTTAGTCAGATTCCCTGAAAGGAAACAGAACACACACCTTGATCAATAGTCTTTCTTTCCCCTGGCAAGGGGATGAGTAACAAGTTGACAACTTCACTTAGACCTAGCTGCGGTTTCAGTTTAAGGTGCTCTCTCTGCAGAAGCCTTTATCCCAGGCAGTCAGCCAGCCTGCAGCATAGGGATAGTTTTTCTGTTTAATTGCTTCACTGCTGGCTGGGATGAGAGAGAGGAGGTGCCAAACCTGAGACTTCAGAGTAACTGGGCCATCATGCAACCTAGAACACCTGGAGGGCACATCCTTTGCACGGATACTCCCCAGCATGCGCACTGCTGCAATGTTACAGCGCCAAAATGGAGCAGGAAAAATAGGAAAAGACAGGTGACCCCTTGGCATAACAGCTCAGCCCAGCAATCCATCCGAGCTGGTCCCAGAACATAGGAGGCAGCACTTTGTCTCCAGACAGGAGACACACCGTTAACAGTGACCAAGGAGGGGTGGAGACAAGAAAACAAGGGTCCAGGGAGGAAGCTGAAGGAAAAAACCAAGAGTAAAAAAATCCAGCTGAACTATGTTGGGCTTTGTCTGCCTGTGATTTAACATTTGGATACAACTGTAAATAATAGCAGAGCTGCCTGGGAAACAGAATTTCCATTCAGGAAAAAACAAAATGTCAAGAGGGGTTGCTGGAAGCAAGGGATCCCAGGGAGCTGGCAGGAAATGCCTAGCTGCTGCTTTCCATTGAAAATTTCGACAAATCAACCTGTTCGCGTGGAACATTTCGCTTCCATCCAGTCAGCATTTTCCAATGGAAAACTGCGTTGTCAGAAGATTTTCCATCAGCTCGAGTAATTAGCCCAGGTAACCGATTAACTCCCACTGAGTATGAGAACTGTAAATCAGAGAGATGCTCATGTGCTGAAACTGCCTGAGAAGAATCTGAGCAGTAAAGAAAGGTGAACACTTGTTAAATGACCCCCAGGTGTCTCAGCTGGGGGGGCTGCTGGGATGTTCTGGCATGTGCTGAGCGGCCAAGCAAGGAGGACACTTACCCCAAAACATGACACTTCACAGACTAAAGCTCTAAACCATTTTTGCACTGGTACTTAGTGGTGAGAAATATGATTAAGAAAAAGTATATTGAGGCTGAGTATCAGGAGAAGTGAACAGTGAGATCTGTTAGGCTGTGGGGTATCCTCTGCAGGTGCATGGTCACACTGCAACATTTATAACAAGCCTGAAGAAAGTGCTACAAGATATGATGTAGGCACAGCTACAAAAGAATGGCAAAGGAATGGAGTAGAGGGCCTTATAGGTCTTTTCTGTCACTATTTTCTATAATTCTGCAAAAACCACAACTGTCTCTCCCAGCAGGCTAATGGAACAGTTTTTATTCCTACTTATAGAAAAGGGAAACCCAGGAGAAGGGAGCCTAGGGGTGTGTGGAACATGCATCTGGGAAAGAGGAGAAGAGCAAGAGAAATGATGGGAGGAGTAAAGAAGAAAATTGCCCCTCTTTTCTCTTCTTTACGCTTCTCCCTTCACCTCTCTCCTCCATGGACTGAGCCGACTAGTAAGGAGAAGAAATGTATGCCCTTGCTGCAAGTCCTTCAAGGGTCGGTGAGTTCCCAGCATGACTCAAGCGTATCTAGCTGAGCTCTCCAACTTCATCATAACAAGATGACATGGCACAGGCTTTCCTGTTGGCCAGAGCCTGCAATGCCAACGCCTCGGAGTTCAGGATAAGAAGGGATTGTGTAATTTGGCCCATTCTAACTAATTATAACAAAATGTCAGCAGTGACAACACTCCTCAGTAAATGAAACCCTGCTGCTACCTTCAGTAAATTATTGCACCTCACTCCAGCTGACACAAATGACCCATCTATGCTCAATTACCATCGCAATAACCCTAATCTGATTCCTTCTGGTGAGACTTTACACAGGAAATGAATCAGCTTAAATGTACTGTGTGTTCAGAGGTTTGTGAGTTATGCTGCAGCGTGCGGTACCCCGGGAATTCTACTGCAACGCTAACTGTGGGCTGGGAGGAAGAGCTAGACTAACAAAGTCTGCCGAGCATTTCCCTCCTACCATGCTCCCCACACTGGCTCACAAAATGATTCCCTGTGGTGCATACACTGTACTACAGGGACACCGACCTTTGCCCAACCAAGAGTCGCAATGACTGTTAGCCAGGAGCCTGAAAGCTGCACTTCATTCGCATCAAATAGAGCAGAATGCAGCCTTTCTAGCTTTAATACGGAGGTGCAGCCAAGGGAGACAGGGTCCACGGAGAGAAACCACTTCTCAGATTGAAATCCGGTCTGTAGGCTGCACTCTGCCTACCCCTGCGTTGGTCTCATAGGTGGTCATTTAGCCAGATCCTCAATAACTTCACTGTGAGTGCAGGTGCTCATCACATTTGAAAATCACCCTTGAAAGTGTTGGCATAGATACATAGCTATTCATAGTTCAGTCAGAGACGTTTCTCTTTGCTGTTTTTAGGGGATAAAAGCAAATACGATATCACACAGAACCTAATGTGTCTCTTCTACAGCCTGCAGCATTGGCCCCACCACCTTATTTTACCTGTTTTTAACCCAGTTCCACCCCAGGCAACATACTTCTAGCTGAAGAGGACTGCAGAAGCCCTCTTCCTTGATCGGCTGGAGGCAATTGCCTTGGAGCAATGTGAAAGCCATATCCCCACTCAGCCACGCACACTACGATGACAAGCCAGCGGTGCGACTAAGGCCTCGTCTACATTACAAACGCTTTGCTGGCAGAGCTAGGACAGCAGATGCAACCTATTCTGACAGAGGGAGATCTTCTGCCAGCACAGTAACACCTCCGGGAACGTTAGATGTGCTGACAGAAGCGCTCTTCTGTGAGCATAGCTGTGTCTACACTAGAGATTTTGCTGGCGTAGGTATGTCAGCTAGGAGGTGTATTTTTCTCATACACCCTGACTGACACAGCTAGGCTGCCAAAGCTTTAGAGTGTGAGCTGACCTTAGACCGGGAGGTGCACTAAGCACCAGGACCCTCTCTGGCCAGTGCTAAGACTGTTTTTATACCGACAAAAAAAAAAATCAACGTCACATCAAATAGAAATGAACCAAAGTAGCGTTTTACATGCTGTGTTTCCTTCTTCTTTTCTTCTTCCCTTTCTTTTCAGTCTCTCCATCCTTCTTTTGTCAGACAGGACCATATTTTCACACACTGGTGCTGAAGCTGCGCCTGCAAAGATGTGGGTGCAAATCCCACATTTGTGCAAGAAATGGGCAATGTGTGTGCACAGTTATGTGGCTTCCACTTGCAATTGAGGTGTGTGCGCAGCTTGGGCAGGTGCAATTCCAGCATCAATTTCTGAACACGTAGCCCATGGAGGGAAGGTCAAAAGGGCCTCATCTAATTGACTTGCTTTTGAATATGTTGAGGCCGGATAGCATGCGGAATCCCGTCCCTGTTCAGTAGCAGGTTTGGTACGGCAGTTCTTCCTGTTTGGCTTATCAGACGTTAGTAGGTACAATGTTGCCCTATCATAACGGTGGTACTTCATTCCTTGAAAAATACCTTCTTATCGCTAGAAGTCTGAACTAGTAGCCTGGAGAGAGGATGGGGAACAGAAGAGAAAGATTTCTCCTGTCATCTGACAAAATGTGGATGCCCCTCACTGGCCCAGCTGGTGTAAATTAGCATGGCTCCATGCATGTCAACAGAGCTACGCCGATTTACACCAATAAGAAACTGGACCATTATTTTTAGAGCAATTGGCAGAATAATATGACTTTGTTTTTCAAAGTTCTTCTGGAAATTTGTTGGTGTTTTTAGACCCCCTGAACTAATGCTAAAAGAATCAAATTCTGAGGTCCTTACGCAGGCAAATTCCCACTGAAATCAACAGGTGATTGCCTGAGTAATGAGTAAGTAAAAGCTGAGAAAGAACCGCAGGAGGAGGGATTCATAGCTATTTGGTGCCCAGCCAAGCACTGGCTACTAACTGAATCAACTTACCATGGCTTCCTTGGAAAGACCGAAAAAATAAATATGAAGGCGTGGGCATGAGATAGAGAGTGATAGAGAAAGATATTTATATTGGATAGTATAACGATTACACTGAAAATTAGGCAGGTAAGTTGTCCGCAGTGAGGAGTTTTCTCAAGAGTATTCTTAGGTTGGAAATAAATTGGCCAACTCCAAATAAAATAATGAACCACTGAAAACGTTGAAGCAGCAAAAGCTTGCTAAATCTGAGTCTGACAGAGCAATCCCAACACAGAGATATTCTGCACTTGTGCTTTCAGAAATGCCTAATTGTCATTGTATATTCTTAGCTCTTGTGCTGTTATAGGGTCTTATTTAGGACCTAAAGCAACTTAAGTGCTTGTGTTGCCTTAAGACAGAACACTTGTGCCTCCTTAAGTCCTTAAAGCAGTTTAGAGGGGTTGGAAGCCATTTCTTCTTTAAAATCCATCAGGGAAATTAAATTCAGTAAACTTCATTAATGCCCCAGTCAGGTTGCAGAATTAAAACAAAAAGTAGGTAATGGAAAAGTTAAGAGTCCTAGAGCAACTTTCACTTGGTCACACTGCACCTATGTCACATTTTCTCCTTCTTTTGTTAAATGTGCACCATGAAAAATGCTGAGTGTGCAAAGCCAAGGTGCAACTGCGACAGGGATTATAACCATTTCCCTTGGACTTTACATTATTTTAACATTACTGAAGAGAGTGTACAAGGAATATCACAACAACTCTGCTACAGCCAGCAGGACTCCCTTTTTACAGACAAAGAATGAGATCCACCTCTATGCAGAGGATCATCAATAAGCAATAAGTATACCACCTAAACCCCATGTAAGCCCTCAGAAAAGGACTTTAGTGGCACTTATGTGAAGAATTGGCCTTGATCTAGTCTCTGCAGAGAGAAGAATTTCACTCACTTGGAATACAAGAAAAGGAACAGTCTTGTCCACTGTGTCTAGACAAGAATTTCATTTTAAAAAAACATTGTTATTATTAAAAAAACGAACGAGGAGTACTTGTGGCATTTTAGAGACTAACAAATTGTACATATTCATAGATTTTCAGGCCAGAAGGGACCATTGGATTATCTAGACTGGCCTTGTATATAACACAGGCTATAGAATTTCATACAGTTACTCCTGTACTGAGCCCAATAACTTGTTTTTGACTAAAGCATATGTTCCAGGGAGGCATTCAGTCTTGATCTGAAGACTTCAAGAGATGGAGAATCCATCACTTGCCTGGGTAGCTTGTTCCAATGGTTAAATACCCTTATGGTTAAAAACATGTGCCTTGTCTCTAATTTGAATGTATCTGGCTTTAACTTATTTCTTGTTCTGCTATTCTCCTTAATACCAGTGTTTTCTCCCCATTTCTCAGTCTACAAAACAGTCTCTCACTGATGACATGCTACTGAAATTCATTCATGGACTGTCGGGATATTTTCTGATTTCCAATGCCATTGACACATCCAATTGCACTAGAAATTATAGAGACATTTCCTGAAGATTATCTTTATCTTCACAACAACGGAACTTGGTGCATTACTGCGGGGGGAAGAGGGGTAGGTGCTGCAACTAGGGTGCTGGGGGTGCTGCTGCACCTCTGGCTTGAAGTAGTAATAACGACCCAAATACATGGTTTCCGCCTTCAGTACCCCCACCCTAAAAATTGTTTCAGCACCACTGGTATTGAAGGGTTGCCTGAGAACATTCTGAAATGGCTCAGTCACTTTCTAAACTTTTTTCCAAATGTTTAGAAAATGCCTCAGCACATAAAGGTGTTATGACATCTTTTAAATCTATATATCTCTTATAATACCAGTTAATTCTTCCTGAGCTTTTAGCCAGGAATAATAAACTGTACAACCATAAATTGCATTTTTTTTTTTGCATTTAATATATTAATATGTTCAATAACTTCAATAACTGTCACACTCTGATTTAAGGAATTGCAGTCTAATGAATTAAAGGAATAATATGTCTCAGGACATGAAGTAGTCTAGTGTCTGGAAACTGTGACTGGACTAGACTATCAAATTAATATCTTCCATCAACAGGTCCGTTACCTGAGCATATTTTACTTTAATAGAAATTTCTTTGTCCCTTGTAACCACCATAAAAGTAGGCAAATGTAGTGGCATGGACCACAGTAAGTTGTTCAATGTGGTTTATTCAGACAGTTTAGGAAGCTCAGCCAATCAGAATGTGAGAGGCTAATGTGACTGGTGAACAAGAGCAAAAAACGGGCATGGAATGGAATTCTATCTGTACTGGGCAAAAATAAAAGATCCAACACTAATCTATGGCCTAGAAAAGGTCAAAAGGTGAACAAAGGGGCAGTTTCAAAGATGGGGTTTTTGATACGGTGACAAGAAGAAAACAGTTGTAGCTCCCCCATCCTCCAAATCCATCAGGAAACCAGTAGTCAGAGGAAAAGGCTTTACCTCACCCTCCCAAGACAGACAATCATTTGAGAGCAATTTCTTCTCATCGGCTGCCTGGCAAGAAGCCTGTTAACCTCCACAAAGGCCTGGCAATGCTTTTGTTTGGGGATTGTTAATACAGTGATACTAACTGCCCATAAGACTGTAGGTAAAGGCACCATATTAAAAGGCACACATTTAAACCTGATCCAGAAGTTTGGCTTTCTGAAATAAACCTTTACAGTCCATATTTTCAAACAAAATGTTTCCATGAATTAAAAAATAAAACCTCCAAGATTATTGTCTTAAACTAATAAACATTTCTCTGAAGGTTGCAACATTGTGGTATTTTATAGGAGCTACCCCGCCACCAGTAGCCCCATCACATTGCCACCAGGCCCTCCAGTCAGATGCAGTTTACGATCACACCCAGAACCAACCTTCAGAGTAAGGTGACTATAGGGTGCCTTTCAAAACCCTAGCCCCCACTGCCCTGTGGCTATTCCTTGGTTGGAGTAAGACTAAGGGACATCACCCTGACAGAAACGCACCCTCCCTGAGGCGTTAGGCAGTCAGCAGTAGCTCTAAGCTGTTGTTCTCTGGCAGAAGCTACAACCATTGAGGCACTGAATGTCTGGACTCGGTCTGGCCTTCGGACTCTGTCTCAATGTTCTAAAAGGGGATGGTAGATCTAGGGCAGCCTCCACTACTCCATATTCTTGCCTAGGCGTACATGTTGAAGGTCTTGGTGTGTTTATCAGGCACCTGATTAGACCTCATACGTGTATACCAGGATCCAGTTTGGATCGACGATTGCCAAAAAAACATTTCCCTGCAGCTTTTGCCACCCAAATATTACAGCATTGTCCACACTGAAAGAAATGCAAAAGGTAAACAAATGTGATAAATAGTGAAAAGCATATTAAGAAATGTTCCACTCTGAATAATGGCTACTAATTTCTGTAACACAGATAAAGCTTTTTTTTTTAAATAGGATTTTTAGCAAGCCAGTGATCCTTATAAAAATAAGTAAACTTGAAATGCCTTCAGCCTACTTGAATGTTTAGAGCATTGGATCATGCTGAGAAGACCTACAATAGCTGAACTGAAGACAGCTCTATAGATACCCCTCTTGTGTTTTATACTGAAGGTTAAAAGTACACCTAGAGAACTGATTTTTAAAAGGGCTTCTACTCAGCCTGCATTTTTGCAGGTGCACCCAGGTAGCTTGCACTCTGCAATTAATTGCAGTTACAAAACCACATCAAAGAACAGAGAGGTTATTTGTGAAATCAGGACCCAAATGCACTCAGTTTAGAAGTATTAAAGATGAGCTTTGTAACCACCAGTCCTGGAAACTCCCTCTGGGATCTGAGAGTCAAGCTGGGTACTTTGTGCCTTGGACTTGTCACCAGTCGCAAAGATTCCTCAAATGGAGTTTAGCCAATGATCATGTTGCTGGTCCATGTTCAGGCTCTCCTGTAATTGTGTTGAATCCTGCATGTCTGCATCAGTAAAGCAAGCAGCTGTGACTCAGAGATGCATAGGGAGCAGTTATACTGAGTAAAAAGATGTCCATTTTACATACCCAGCTTTCTCACTCTAACCCCACTTCCAGCAAGGAATCAATTTTCAAGCAATTTTGAGGTTATCAACACAAACTACATTTCACAAGCCTGCAGATCCACAAGAGTTCTGACCACCCCAATTTATGATCTATGCATTCATGTAACTGAAGGGAGATACAATAGTTTTGCCTTTAAACCCTAGCATTTGTTTTCCTCCATGCTGACTTCCTCCCTCTGAATGGTTTCTTGCTGAAGCTGAAGAGGTTTTTTTGAAGGGGGAAAGACCTTTTAGGCGACAGCCCCTTTCAAAAAGGCTACTGTCATAATGTATACTGAAGGCTTCTATGTTTCAGGATGGCATAGTTGTGGGAAGAGAAAGCAGCTGGAGAGATGGTAAGAACGATGGTTTGATTCCAGCATACCAAAGAAAAGCCTGACAGAAATTAAGTAGGAGGCAAGAAAGGAAAGCAGCTAAAGAGACTTCTCCCATCTCCAGGGAAAACCTCAGAGGAGAGGAACAAAGCAAGAGGAAAAGAGAAAGAAGGCAATGAATAAGTAGAAAAAGAAAGGAGAAATGAGTCTGAAGATAAACCTAGGAGCTCCAGGGGCATGGGGAAAGCAGGAACTTAGATCTGCTATGTGCATTGAAAGGAGGATTTAGGTTCAAATTCATTATTTCCCCAGTGCTGCCACATTTCCAGTGATTACCAACCTACTATCTTCAGCTGAGTGGACAAGCAAAGCCACCAGCACTGGGTATTGTCCACTCAGCCTATTTCAATATTCGAGGACTTGATGAATCAAGTGCCCCCTGGAGCAGAGAGCCCATTTGCATAATCAGTTAACTGTGCTTGATTGTGTCCCAAACATTGCTTGGTTGACCAAGTGTGGGGATTTCTTAGAAGTGTGGTCCAGCTTTCTGGGTTATTTACAATGTGATTATACAGTTATTTACGATGGCTTTCAAAGGTCACGGATTGTTCTCTCGTGCCACAATTAAAGAAACAGAACCCATGCAACATTTACAATCTCTCTCAGAAGAGGTGGCTATGTGTAAAATGTTCAAAAGCATTTAAATGATACAAGTGCCTACAACCCATTGGCATTTCATGGTATTTAAGCACCTAAGTCACTTAGGCCCATTGAGAATTTTACTCTGTGTGCTTGCATTGCTTCCAGTCACACGGTGAAGCTGTTGAGCTGGGGATTTTTACACATCTGGCGGAACATTCCTGTGCTGTCACTTTCCCAGAGCACACATGATGGATTACAGTTGATGGTGTGAATTAAGACATTGATGGGTGTGTTTGCTGGGGAAGGTTAGCGATGGGTGTGTTAGGGGCGGGAAATGTTGCAAATCCTCATGTGCATCAATAGCAAGCTTCCTGTTAGAAAGCATGATCTTCTGGGAAGAACTGATTTGAGATGATGCATATTCTGCTGCAGCCACATGCAAGGGGGAAAGAGGATAATACACAGCACAAATATTGTCTTTGAGAGCACTAGCATGAAGAGCCACCCAGAGATTATCAACCAAGTGAGGAGACTGTGTTTGAACCCCAAATCGAAGGTGTTTCCCTACACAGCCAGATGCTGTTCAATTAAATCATTTGCAATGGTCGCCAGCCAGTCACTACTGGAACATGCTTCAGGACCTTTTTCTTTAGAAACACAGACTGGCTCATAGCACAGCTGCTATGCTGCAGGTGAACTCTTCAGTGAGGCTATTGCTTTCTGCAGTGACTCAGCAGGATGCATTCGAGCATAACACAGCATTGTTCAGTTCATACAATTTCAGCCAATTGCAGATTTCTCTTGCCACCGCCCCACCAAATCCTAGGGTTTTCCAGAATCAAGGAAGGCCCTTCCTTCCCTGTTACTAGTGCCCCCACGTAGGTCTGATCAGTAAGTCAATACACTAAGAAGAGGAGCTAAGAGCTGACTGTCTCTTACCTTTGGTTTTAAATGCAAAGTTACAGTACTTGCAGACGTATGGCCTGACGTCTGTGTGCGTGCGAATGTGTTTCTTCAGCATGCTGGGTTTCTTGCAGCGAATTCCACATTCCTCACATACATACTTCCCTCTTCCGCGGCCTCGCACATACACATACTCTTCGTTTGATTTGTACCTATGAGCAACAGGTGTCATGATAAAAAAAAAAAGATTCCCACCTCAAAAGAAGTAATAACTTTCCTAAAGTAATTCAGCACGTTATTGACACCAGAGGTGAAAGGCTGAACTAGCAATTTACCCAGAGTCACCAGCTATGAATAATTAGGCTAAACACAAAATATGTTCCAGCTCTTAAGCCCATTTGAGTCAAACGCCTCTCCCTCTGGAATAAGGTTTAATAATCTACAGCTGCCCTTCCCTCATGTCCATTGAGGCAATTAGCAAAATATCTGATAGAGCTACAGGGTGATCTGAACTTCCTAGTGCCCTCCCCACTCACAAACCCAGGCAAACTGGGGGAGTTGACCATAATCCAATTATTTGCCTCACAATCTATCTCATCTTCCCGAAAACTGTGAGCTGTATCGCTGTCAGCCGCTTCTTCAGACATATCCAAAAATATGCATGACTTGCTACTATACCATCTAAAATAGCTTCTCTTCGATGATCACCTATATCCCAGATAAACCACAGTTAAATTTTCAAAGGGATAACTTTAAAATCCAACTTGAAAGTTACCAAGATGCCACTCTGAAACCTGTGGCCCGTGCGCAGAATTCTAGCTGGGATTTGGGGACAAAACTTATCCAAAATATATCAGAGACAAGAAAAATTGAATTCTTTAACACATTGTGCTAGCACAGAAAATTAGGCTTCAAGGCCCCAGGTTCCTTCCCCACTGGCTCAGAGTGAGGAACAATGTTTGCCTGAAAGTATTAGACTGTAGATCCTTCCTTCTTATTATAAAGTCATGTACCTTCAGTCCACCCATTAGCACAATGGGACAGTTATTGTGAGGTGGGTATGAGTAATATTTGTGAGAGTCACAGAAGTCACCTGCCTCTTGCAGTTCAGCAAATGGAAGACGAACAGAGAAACATCAAATTGATCTCATCAGATAAATACAATAATAATAGACCAAGATTTTAAAAGTGACTAGTGATTTTGGGTGCCTCAATTTTTGGGTGTCCTATTGAGGCACCTTGAAAAGGTCTGATTTTCAGAAAATGCAGAGCATCCACTCTCTGAAAACCAGGGCTCCTTAAAGAGTCTCAAGTGGGGAACCCACAGATTGAATCACCCCAAACCACTACTCACTTTTTAACATCTTGGTCAACAAAGACTAACGTCAAAACTACAAAGGGGAAAATGTCATCAGCATTGAAGAGGAATGGAGCAGGAATGGCAGCATGGAGCTACTTTGTCACGAGTAGCTTGGGTGCTTAGATAAATGAAGGTGTGATTAACCTTACAAAATATTTGTACTATAGAAACCCAGAGGAATTCAAAGCTGAGTACTGAAGCGGTCTGACAATGTTGGTTCAGTGGCTAGGGTGCTATCTTTGAAATCACGAGACCTAGGTTTAATTCCCTGCACTGCTATAGACTTCCTGTGAGATCTTGGATAAATCACGTAGTCTTTCCTGACTCAGTTTTTCACCTGTAAAATGGGGATAACAATACTTCCCTACCTCATAGGAGTGTTCTGAACATAAATATGTTTAAAAGATAGTGAGATGCTCAGATACATCAATGAGTGGCCATAGAAGTAATTTAGGGCTTGTCTACATGGGGAGGTTCAGGAAAATTAATCCAAATTAACTAAAGGAGTGACCTTAGAAGTAGATCAGCTAAACCACTTCAAATGCCTGTGTGAATGCTGTTATTCGGAATTAAAGTGGCCTTAATTTGGTTTAGTTTAATTCACTTTGAAATTAACCAAATTAAGGCCACTTTAATTCTGAATGAGTGTATTCACACAATGCAGTTTAACTAATCCACTTCGAATTCACACCTTTATTTAATTTGAATTAACTTTCCTGGATGTCCCCATGTAGACAAGCACTTAGGGACAGGTTTACACTAAAAAGTTAGGTTGACTGAGCTATGTCGCTCAGGGAATGTGAAAAATCACACCTCTGAGACACATAGTAAAGCCAATATAACCCTCCATGTACACAGCACTAGGGTGACAGAAGAATTCTTCTCTCAATCCAGCTACCGCCTGTTGTAGAAGTGGATTAACTACAGTGAAAGGAGAACCCCCTCCTGTTGCCATTGTGAATATCTACGCTGAAGCGCTACAACGGTGTAAATGCAGCTCTGCAGCTGTGTTGCTGTAGCAATTTCAGTGTAGACATAGCCTTAGGTAGATCCAGGGAACAAAAACAGAGGAAGCAAGAGAAAAAATGGGTGTCCACAGAAAATCCAGTCTAGCCTCGAATATTGAGAATACCAGTACTCCCAGGCACAGTCATCTAAAAGTTACCAGTAAAAAAATGGTAAGCAGTGACATTTCTCAACATAAAGCAGAATTTCTTTTCAGGTCACGACAGAGTAATTCTGTCAGTCCCGCATCCTTTCTCCTTAGAAGGAGCTGTGCAGTACACTGAAACATTGTCAAACACATGCTTTCATGATAATCGATGATCTCCTTTTTTTTTTTTTTTTTACAGGAAGTGGGGAAGATTGGGGATACTTGGAAATGTCACGGTTGCTTATTCAAAACAGGGCTGAGGAGGGGTTGCCATCTGACATGCTTTGAAATAGCAGCACCTTATGAACATCTACTGATATTCTCACTACCTCCCTGTGACACAGGCACATAACGTGCCACTACATCTTTACAGATTCTTTGATAAGCAATGAATGATACCATGATATTAGAGGTCTATTTGAGATACCGCTAGCATAAGGACTACTGGGGTAATGCCATCTACTTACAAAGGCAACGCTGAAGATATTAGGGCAATCAGTATACTTTAGCTATTTTGCGAGGGGTACCGAGCATTGGCCTACGTGAAGCCAGTATCTGGAGAGTATCTACTAATTTTGGGTGCCCAGCATACCTAAGTGTCTCCAGTTAGATACCTAAAACTAACAACATGCTGAGACAGCGAGGGTCCGTCGCGCCAAATGTCAATGGCCAAATTGTACGACTTTATTTCAGACATCTAAAAGCTGCACAGGATTATTACTGACCTGGTGCAGTCAAATTAATCCCGGATGACCATGTGAACACGGCCTGTCTGTGGCTGGGCAATGTCTCCTCCTGACCTCAAGTCTGATCTTCAGAGCTTCAGGTGAGGGGACTTGATCTGTGAAGGGGACTACATGACCAAAAAGTGCCAGCCAGCGATGACTGATGACGACTTCAAGCCTCTCAAGACCAGTTCTCAATAACACATCCCTCTTGCTGATAAAATCAAACCATCTTATGCCCAGTAGTCGCTGCTGACAATGCATATGAAATGTCTCCAGCCTCCTGTTTAAGCAACGTCCATGTTTCAGATCCGTATAAGAGGTTTGATAAATCTGTACTTTTACATAACCCCAAACTCAGGCATCCAAAAACAACAGACAAAGCTGTCCAATGGCTCTTGTTCATTCACTCAGTGATTCAGTGGAAGAGCTGGGAGTCCGGATTCCCCGTCCCCTGCTTTAACCATTTTCCATGCCCCCTCCTGCTATTCAATTCTTTTTGTCATTATTCTGTGTAATATTGTGTAATAATCATATTGCCATTTCAAAAACAAAATTGCTCCTTTATCAGCCATGTACTTGTGCTATCCTTAATCACGCTCTCACATAGAGCTGTTTGAGTAACTCCTTTGTGTCCATGCCTCTGACGAAGTGGGCATTCACCCACGAAAGCTTATATGCTCCAATACATCTGTTAGTCTTAAAGCTGCCACAGGACTCTCTGTTCCTTTGTGTCCAGCAGCCCCTTCGTTAGCCTCGTGAATGATATCAGTGGCTGACTTCTCCTGGACAAAGTGACACACAATTTGATCTGAAATTAGACATTGCAGCATATCTGACACTCACTGAGGCTGAGTCCGCCTAGAAGGAAGGGCTTCCTGTCCCACTCATTTAGTACATCTTGACGGGGGCCAGAGAAACAGAGAACCCTAAACAAAACCCAAACCAACCAATCCAAATGAAGTGTGCCATAAAAGCGGAGATGGCTGCTGAAAATGCCCTGTAACTGCTACCGAGAGAGTGACATGTTTGTGGAGGTAATTACCACACTAGGAGGCTACCGCTGCCTTTCTTTGTGGGTCTATGTTCACATAATTTGCATCAGACAGACAAATCAATGACAGGCCACTTCACTGAAGGGTTTACCCTCAACAAGGGACCTTCCTGCTCCGTAGCATTTACTGTAACCAGACTCCTCCACTACTCACAGTGTAAGTTTGTGTCAGCAAGTTTGTGCTTCTTTTCCAGAGCGCTTTGGAACTCATAATCCCACCGTAAGCCACTGAAATCTCCGATGGTGCCATGGTTTCCACACCATGTTGAAAGGGTTTGAAACCTGTGAGGCTAAATGACCATTGTTTGGTCAGTCTAAGCTTGGAAAGGGCCCCTTTAAAGCAACAAAATGGAAGATGAAGGATGAGCTTATTATTGCATTTTAGAAAGTAACCCTGGCTTGAGAAACATGCCCATGTTAGACTTCACGTGGCTACTACAGATATGATTCCGAACACAGGAATTGCCATAGCTGGGACACCTAGGCCAGGATCCTTTCAGCAGTAGTGGCAAGTGCCAGACTCATAGATTTTAACACCAGAAGGACCATTAAGACCATCTCCTCTGACCTCCAGCATAACACAGGCCCGAGATGTTTCAAGGAAGGCTGCTAGAAACCCTGCAATGGGCAGTTATGGGACAATCTGCTCGCAGAGAAAGTTTCCTCCTAACGCTCTTGGAGATTGGCTGCTACCTTAAAGCATGAGGATTTATATCCCTGTTGCAATTCTTGTTTAATTTGTAATATTGACTATTATAGCTCTGGATGTGTGTGTTAGCCATGTAAATGTGTAATTCCTTTTTTAATACTGCTAAGCTTTTTGGTCTTCATGATGTTTTGTGGCAATGAGTTCCACAGATTAATTGTGCACTGGGTGAAATAGTATTTCCTTTATCAGTTTTGAATTTGTTGCCTTTCAT